TTCTCTATAGAATGAACAAGTTGACTGAAAAATAATTTAGGATAAGTAGATTATTGTTGATTAATTAATCTCATTTTGTTGGATTTGTCTTACTAATAATGGTGTATATGCAAAATTTCATTTTGTAGCATATGTGGATGATGTTTCTTTGTGTATGTTGAGAATTAACAATGTAGGACAAAGGGCTAGCTATGTCATTAAATTTGTTTGCTAGAAGGCATGGACTTTGGTATTGATCATCCCAATCTTTTATAAAAGTTTAAGTCATTGCTTGGACTTTTTAAGTTAAGATGTAGGTTAAATTAGGCTAGAACACAACAATTTTGAACTGTCCATTATTTGGTAGCAGAGAAAATAAGGAAAGAAGAAAAACTTTAAGATTAACAAGTTTCTATAAAGGAGTAGAATTGTTACAAGATTCCATGTTTCCTAATTTCTTCTTGTTTTCCCAATTTCTTGGCAACCAAACATAGGATAAAGTATAAGGACTTAGGAAAAGATTGGTTGAATGGACTTGTATCCAATTTTTTAGATTTTCCAATAGTTATTAGGAAGCCTTTTTATGCATAATGTACAGTTTATTGCAAATTTCAATCACTTGTGAAAGTAGTACAGCAATTATTGAACCTTTTTTTACTATTTCGTTGTTATTATTGTATATATGTTTGAATATTGTTGATGTAGCAAGTCTCATGATTTTTTTTTCCTTTATACCTTATGTGGATACATAATTTGAAACTTTGAACTAGCATTTAGAGACATCGTAGAGCATTCCTTGGCAGATTATCCTGTTAATTTAAGTTTTTCATGCGTTTCATCTATCTTTTAGATTTGATATTCATTTGTTTACAGAAAAAGAAGTCAATGGTCCAAATTTAATCAACAATTAAAACTAAGAATCTACAGTCACACAGACACATTTTCTCAATCTTTTGCTCCAACAGTGAGAAGTTGCAAAGCATGACGCGCGTATTTTATTTTGACTAACAATTATGATAACAAGGCTCCAAATTTCCCATCCTCCAGAACTTCTTAAGAACTCAATTCATTTATGCGAACCGAGCTTAGTAATTGGTTTATTTGAGTGAGTCAAGTTTGATCACAACTGTTAAAAAATTAACCAAGCTCAAACTAAGCTCAGACACTGCTTCTAACCAGCCAAGCTGAGCATAAGCTCTATAAAGTTGGCTTGACTCAGCTTGTTTACAGCCTACGAAATGGCTGATCTCATACTTAAATATGTCTCCTTCTAGTAGCCAGTTTAAGCTTTCACCATGTCACCTGACCCCTTTTTTTTATCAAATATATATATATATATAAAGTAGCATTTTGAATACTAAAGAGTTGAACTATCACAAAAATATACTAGGCCATGTAGAAATTCCCACGTCTTGAAGAACCGGCTGGCTGGTGATTGTCCCTTCCACTTCCAAAACCTTTTCTCCTTTTGCTGATCGAAATGCAGAAAGGAGAGATGACCCTGATTGGGTCTTCAATTTTCTTATTGCCCTTTAAGAAAGACAAAAAAATTAATATTTAGAAGTTGGATTTGATGTGACCTTATTTATAAATTTATGATAGGATAAATTATTTAAGCTTGAAACTTGAACGGAGACTCAAGAAAACGTCATCAGAATATCTCCCATCAGTTAACTGGACTCATGCACACATATTTTTGTGAAAGTAACATGTATGTGTGAGATTTGTCAAACCACCAAATTACAAATTCTGAGTTTCAACAAGAGTATATCTAAAGAAAACAAGGGTTGAAGTAGTTTTTAGTTTAGCATACAGTTGCCAGTTTGAAGAGAGCCTTACATTCCTAAGCATGCTAACTCTATTTTCTTTCATTAATTCTTTCTTTATTTCTTTGTTTCTGATGCACACTTTCTTATTTCTTTACACTTAGAATAGCCTTCCTTAATTTATAATTATAGTAACATAAAAGCTAAAGCATGTGGTTCCTATTTTGTAGCATAACTACTACATAAGACTCAGCTTAAATGAAGACTGGACTTATAAATTTGAATATCTGTGTTATGTTCGATTTTCTATTAATAGTTAATAAGTTGGTGTATATGTCTTAAGATGACTGTTCGTGTTCATTCTAGCTTCTCGTGTTTATGGTTATCTTGTTCTGAGATTTGTAACTGTAATTCTTGTTTTGCAAACTAAATCCTATTTGGTGAAAATTTTTATGATCTTTTTTATATACTTTTTTTTTTATTTATGAATTTTAGTTATAAATATTTGTGAAGATAATGACTGAAACAGGATCTCCCTTTGCAGGATTTGAAAGACTAATTGGTAAATTTGGGTTGAACTTTAGTCTTGAACAAGCTGAAGGCCCTTATTGTGGATTATAATTTTTACAATTGCAGCACCCTACGGTCTTACCATATTTTAGAGTGCTTTCATCACTTCATACTGGTAAGTCATATCTTTAATTATTTAAATATATATATATATATATTTTATTCCAGTTTTTTTCATGCTAATAATAAATTGGATGTTAACCGCATGAAGCATAAATCTGTCAATTAAGACAGGCACCCAATTGTATATGAAACAAAGTACAATATAAAGTAACAAAATTTATTAATATATAAACAACAAAATTTTCATTTTTTTATTTTTTTATTTTCTTTTGTGTGTGTGTTTTTGTGTTTAAAGGTTGAAAGATTTGTGTAGTTATTCAGTTGTAGAAGCAACAAAAACACTTCCAGTGCTTCCCAAAAATAAAAATCATCATTATCATGGTGTTGTCATAAAACTTTATTTGAAAAAGGATAATTCTTAACTTATTTATTTGACTCGAGAAACTGATGTTATTAATATTTGTGGGCCAATTTGGGTGCTTAATTGGTAATTGATTGTGTGTTTGAATTTTGAATGTCCTAGATTCAAAGGGGGAAGCCACATAAACTTGCACTGAGAATGGCATAGACTTTATAAGTTGTAACCTTCCAGCACAAAATGAGTAGTTGGTAGTCCAAAACTCCTCAATTAAAGGATCACAGTGCTGCTTATTCAGTCTATTAGACAATAATAAAACTCCCAAATATCGAATTGGGAGGGTCCTAATAGAGAAATTAAGCTTTCTGAGAATTAGGTTTTGAGTAGCAGTCTCTATACCAGATCAGAATATGACACCTCTTTGCATTATTTGGAATCAAGCTAGAAATAGAAGTTAAAACTAAATTGAGCTATTGATTCTGTCAGTATTTTAACAGATTCAACATCCCAGCTGCGATTAACATAAGATCATCAACAAAAAGGTCCATTACTTATCCTCTGAGCTGAGCATTTCCAATGGTAATCGAAACCCCCTAGAGTTATTCTCTAATTAAAAATACGAGGTAGAACCTTCATTCCTATAACAAATGGTATGAGGACATTGGATCCTTCCTCCTTCCCTTATTAGGTAAACCATACGACCATTAACATCCAAGGAAAAGAACTTTTCAACAATTTCAATAAAAGAAATAAAAATAAAAACTGTAAGTGTTTTTTTTTTTCCTTTTATCTATTCGATTGGGTTAAGTGATGCTTTATATATGCTTCTTTTTGTGTGTTTTACCTATCATTAACGTGCTTAGTTGGATTAATTCCGAAGAATGTGTATTGAATTAATGAATTAGGAATATATGAGTACTCCCAAGTGCCTTTGTAAGCTAGCAGATTTGAGATTGAATCTTTTCAACATGTAATGTGTAGAAGTGCAAATTGGTAAATTTAAGTTGGACTGTTATGTCCATATATGTGCTTTATCCTTCCTTTTTGTATCTAATGTGCCTGTGTTGGTAATTTATTTGTAGATGTTGAATACCCGGTGTTCTCCAAATAAATTCAAGGAAACGGTTTGCAATTTAAGTGAAGACAAAAAGGTTGCCGTACAAGAGATTGGGTTTGGGTCCCTTTTAGACATCGAGTGTACCATTTTGAAGCGCAACCTGTGCTTATGGTTGGTAGAACACTTTGACCCTAGAACATCTCATCTCACCCTTGAATCTGGCGCTCGGATCCATGTTACGCCAAGTGACGTTGAAGAGGTACTTGGCCTACCCTCGGGAAGAGGAGAAGATGTGCCAAATTATATTGTACAAAGTGTGCATTGGTTAGAAAATGGCATTTTTTTAAAGGACGGTGTAATAGAAGTGCCAAACTTAGTGCATCAATTAGACGTTCTTCCTATTGGGGATGACTTCAAGAGGGCTTTTGTCCTTTTCGCTTGCGGATCACTTCTAGCACCCATATCGAAAAATGAGACAAGCAAAAGGTTATTGGCAGCGGTTGACAATGTGGATGCTATTAAATCGTATAATTGGGGGAAGTTTGTTTTAGATTGGTTGAAAAAAGGAATTGCGTCCTATAAAGGAAAGGAAGGAAGAGAAGGTTGTACATACATACATGGATGCTTGTTCTTTCTCATGGTATGTTCTAAGATATAATATTTGTAATGTGTCTATCATTTTATTTTAAATAGCTATAATGTCATTATCATAATGGCTTATATGTTGTAGCTTTTCTACCTACACCGTGTGGATGTTAATGGACCAAAACCGAAGCCTGAGATGTCATGCGTACGTGGATGGACCAACAAATTAATAGGCGAGAGGTTGAATTTGGAGAAGCATAAATATAATGGTTTCGGCTTCGGTGAGGTAAAGTTTACAACTGATACATCTGAAGATGCCGATAAGGTAATCACGTCAATTATGGCTTTTTATAATTGGTACTAAATATACGGTTATATTTGCATATTCATAATTACTTGGAACTCTACGGTTACATTTATATATTAACTGATATATATATTTATTAAACTTGTTTAAAATTGTTAGGAGTTGGCATATGAAATTATTAAAGTTGTTAAGAAATGGAAGCAACGGCACAATGTAGGCCAAGGCAGGGGGTCGAGATCCTCAGAACCCAGTTCATCCACACGACAACCTAACCCATCTTCGCAATTGTTTGCACAACACCATCCGACTGAGGAGGAAGATGAATCCCACATACCAGTGGAGGAGGAATTCGAAACCTCCACAAGACAAGCAAACTCACCCTGGCAATCTTTTACAAAACACGATCCCATGGAGGAGGAAGGAGAAATCCCCGCACCAATGGAGGAGGAAGTGGGAACCTCCACAGCAATGGAAGAGGAGCGTGATGTGCAGGAAGCAGTGATCCCTTTATTACGTGTTATAAAGCCTGGGCGCCATAAGGGATCACCTTGGGTTGAAATGAAGGTCAACCGATTGCGTGTCCTTCGTCCAGAAGCAAAGGCAGTCATCTCATATGCCATGGATGAGAGCAGAAATGATGAGTGAGAAATTATATAAATAATTTCTTATTTGCTCTATATTTACTTACTTTCTATGCTCAAACACTTAATATGTTATTGTTTAATTATAGTGAAATGCTGGTGAACATAAATGATATTTTCCTCACAAGAAAAGAGATGAGAACAATCTCTTACAATCATTGGATATCAAATATGGTATGTTCACTTAAAGTTCATTGATTTTTCAAACCAATCACACGCATGCATTAATGGTTTAAATGTGATCATTGTAGGTGGTTGAAGTCTATTGCCAAATGCTCCAGCTGAAACAAAAGCGTAGAGGAACCAAATTTTTCTTTTCGCCTTCGATTGGGGTAACAAATTCTTCTATCTATAGTGAGTGTTTGTTTGACACATATTAGGTTATCAATTGTGTGCATTTTCAGATTGAACTTTCCAAGATACCTTCAAAAGTGGTTGATAGGAAAGGTAAAATACAAGTAGTTTGGAACAAGTATAAAAGGATAAGGAATGTCGATGATAACAAAGTTTGCCAATTCAATATGGTAATATTTATCGCTTGCAAACATAAATAATTATTATACTTTTATCAAAAAAATATGATTCTAAAAGTAATTAAATTTTTACATTGTTAAATATGCAGTTTTTCTTTCCAATACTTGTAAATGAGAAACATTGGTGCTTGTATGTCTTTAACATTTGCGATAGTCGTATGGATGTGTTGGATTCAATGAAGCAATGTTCGCATGATAAGCGTACTCCAGACAAGATGTCAAAAGATTTGGTAAACGCTTATTACATATGAGCTCATTTTTTTGATTATGTATTCATTTACTGTTAAATTAGGACGGTAAAGTATACAAGTTGAAGAACGTGGTACTGAATTTTTTACTCTAATCATTTATATATTGTGCATTTGTAGGTAATGTTGGTTGAGGTATTCACCGGAAGAGATCTACAAAACTTCACATACAATGTGCCCAACGTACCTCAACAGCCCGATTGGTAATTTTATCACTTAATGTTCCTAGTTTGGTGTACTGATTATGTTCACAATTATAATTAACAGATACCTAAACAGTCTTTTATTCAGTGATAGTTGTGGTGCTTTCATGTTGGACTTCATGGAGAAATGGGATGGTTCACTCAGTCACCCAAAAGAGAAGGTGAAGCCCAATTCTATTTTTTACATGGGTCTTATTTATTTTTTTCCCCGAATGAAGAAAATACCGAATTACTAAATCACACAATCTCCTCGATACTCTTCGTTAACCATTTAATTCTCTGTTTTCTTCTAAACCATTGGTGCATTGTTAATCTAGGCACCCACTGGTCATTAGTCTTCAAAGGAAGAAATGGGTCTTGCCTTTAAAGGTTTCAAAAAATATATTTGTAAAACTGATCCACATTCCTACATACTTTTGTTCAAGGGTTAAAACTGGAGGGTCTTCAATTCCAATACATGCAAACATAATTTAAAAAATTAATGCAACCACAAAATGCATCCACTATAACGTTTTCCTTCCTCTTCACTGCACTCCCCATTCTGTTTTTACACGTTTTCCAGCTTATACCTTTCTTTTTGCATCTTTTAAACCCATGTTTGTGTGCAAGTAATTCGCTTTCCGATCTCTCCCCGCTAGGCTGCAATGTCGTAGTGTCAATATCGGGAAGACCAGGGGACTACGGCACGTGTTGAAACAAAGAGAGCGGTAAGCACCCCCTTTAGGCAACAAAATTTTCAACCTTAGAACCCCCTAATGCAGTATACCCTTAATGTGTGCCATTTTTTTGAAAGAGAAAGCATCCAGCTCTAGTGAGTACGGATCTAACATGAAGTAAGCAATAAAATGAACCATGTAATGAATGATATAGAAAATGTTTGACATCCACTGTATAATGGGTCCTATCGAGTAGAAACCAGCTTTGCTAGATGAGGTTTAAATGAATAGCATACTCTTAAATATTTTCAGACAGTTTTTCATTGTCAAAGAATTCAGTATGAGATCAGTAGCTTAAATCATCAGTCAACCTTGTTTTTCCTACATCACCTAACCAATTAGATATGCAAATACTGGACTCCTGTCATTTTAAATGAATATATTGCAGTTTATATGGTCACTTCACTGTACTTAGTGGTGCTCATTAAAAATGAACCGAACACAAAAGATACTGAAACTACGACATATTGAAATGAATGATTAAAAAATTTCAAAATAAATAGTCACTTTAAGATTACTTTTGGAATGTCAGAAAAAAGGTGCGTGCCATTGAGTGTTTGGAATCAGTAAAAAGGGATAACTATTTTGGGACAGGGAGATCTTTCGTATTATTAGATTTGTTTTGGTTTTGTTTATGTTCTGTCTCTGTGCTGATCTGACCAAATTGCTAACATATTTCCCAAGGATGAAGCTACCTGTTTATGCAATATTTCACATATAAAAGTTTAGTATCACCGAGATTTTGTGCATATGCCAAATTCAACATTGTTGAAAAAGTTTTCTTTATCAAATATATAGTTTCTGCAACACTAGATTCCTATCTATTTACACTTATATGTATTCACGCATGAAGTCCATTTCCCTATCCTATATTCATGATTTGTCTTTACCTGGTTTAATTTGCAGGTGGATGTTGATAGATTACGTGCAATTATTGCTTCAAATTTGCTTTCAGATGACAATAACAAAATGAAGGATTTTGTAAAGAACAAAGCACTTTATCCATTTGGTCAAGCATGTTGATTTCAAGTAAGCTTCCATCAGCTTACTTGTGGTTAGTAATTTTTTTTTATTTTTATGATTCTAACATCACCTCCATCAGCCAACAAGGTACCATTTACCTCAAGGAACCTCACATAACAGTATTTGCCCAGTTGGAAGCTAGAGGAAGTGGGATAGGAGGATCGTTGAATTTTCTAAAAAGTGGTACCTAAAATGATGTGGGATATGGGACATTTGTATTGTTGAATAGAGTCATTTTTTTTTTCATGTATTTTGCACTCTGTTGGTGTTAGCTATTTTTAAAGTTTTAAAGAATAGTAGCTTTGCAACTTTTGATTGTGGATTAGGTTGGTATATTTTTGCAACTATTGTACGGCTTATTATATTGGCATCTACCTTACATGAAATCAAATGAAGTTGCTCTTTTGGGTTTTCAGGAATTAGTATTGTATGGCTTATTATATTAGGGTCTCAATGAAATTTCTTTCACTACTATATTAATGTACTAATTTCAAATTTGATGGAGTTTAAAACTGAAGCAGTTTATAATGAATGAAAAATTGGTTTGGATCTTCCTTGGTTCCATGGTGTCGATAAATGGATAGTTTAATGAATGAAAAATTGGTTTGGATCTTCCTTAGAGAAAACGTGGTACCTTGACGCCAAAAAGAAGTACCTTCAGTTCAAAAAACGTGGTCCCTTTGGGAAAAAAGTAGTACCTTTACAAAAGGTACCTATTTTTGCAATTGAAAATGGTATTACACCCCGCATCGCTAATTAAGTTGCACATTACATCCACAAACAGCTCCATTAGCGCCATGAATAAGTGTTTAGAGAAAACGTGGTACCTTGACGCCAAAAAGTGGTACCTTTAGTTCAATAACATGGTACCTTTGGAAAAAAAGTGGTACCTTTGCAAAAGAGATTTATTTTTGCAATTGAAAATGGTTATACCCCACACCGCTAATTAGGTTGCACATTACATCCATAAATAAATCCATTAGCGCCATGAATAAGTGTTTAGAGAAAATGTGGTACCCTGACGCCAAAAAGAAGTACCTTCAGTTCAAAAACGTGGTACCTTCGCAAAAGGGACTTATTTTTGCAATTGAAAATGGTATTACACCCCACAGCGCTAATTAAGTTGCACATTACACCAATAAATAGCTCCCGTTAGCGCTATGAATAAGTGTTTAGAGAAAACGTGGTACCTTTTTTCCAAAAAGTGGTACCTTCAGTTCAAAAACGTGGTACCTTTGGAAAAGAAATGGTACCTCCACAAAAGAGACTTATTTTTGCAATTGAAAATGGTTATACCCCACACCTCTAATTAGGTTGCACATTACATCCATAAATAAATCCATTAGCGCCATGAATAAGTGTTTAGAGAAAATGTGGTACCCTGACGCCAAAAAGAAGTACCTTCAGTTCAAAAACGTGGTACCTTCGCAAAAGGGACTTATTTTTGCAATTGAAAATGGTATTACACCCCACAGCGCTAATTAAGTTGCACATTACACCCATAAATAGCTCCCGTTAGCGCCATGAATAAGTGTTTAGAGAAAACGTGGTACCTTTTTTCCAAAAAGTGGTACCTTCAGTTCAAAAACGTGGTACCTTTGGAAAAGAAATGGTACCTCCACAAAAGAGACTTATTTTTGCAATTGAAAATGGTATTACACCCCGCATCGCTAATTAAGTTGCACATTACATCCACAAACAACTCCATTAGCGCCATGAATAAGTGTTTAGAGAAAACATGGTACCTTGACGCCAAAAAGTGGTACCTTTAGTTCAATAACATGGTACCTTTGGAAAAAAAGTGGTACCTTTGCAAAAGAGATTTATTTTTGCAATTGAAAATGGTTATACCCCACACCGCTAATTAGGTTGCACATTACATCCATAAATAAATCCATTAGCGCCATGAATAAGTGTTTAGAGAAAATGTGGTACCCTGACGCCAAAAAGAAGTACCTTCAGTTCAAAAACGTGGTACCTTCGCAAAAGAGACTTATTTTTGCAATTGAAAATGGTATTACACCCCACAGCGCTAATTAAGTTGCACATTACACCCATAAATAGCTCCCGTTAGCGCCATGAATAAGTGTTTAGAGAAAACGTGGTACCTTTTTTCCAAAAAGTGGTACCTTCAGTTCAAAAACGTGGTACCTTTGGAAAAGAAATGGTACCTCCGCAAAAGAGACTTATTTTTGCAATTGAAAATGGTATTACACCCCGCATTTCTAATTAAGTTGCACATTACATCCATAAATAGCTCCATTAGCGCCATGAATAAGTGTTTAGAGAAAACATGGTACCTTGACGCCAAAAAGTGGTACCTTTAGTTCAATAACATGGTACCTTTGGAAAAAAAGTGGTACCTTTGCAAAAGAGATTTATTTTTGCAATTGAAAATGGTTATACCCCACACCGCTAATTAGGTTGCACATTACATCCATAAATAAATCCATTAGTACCATGAATAAATGTTTAGAGAAAATGTGGTACCCTGACGCCAAAAAGAAGTACCTTCAGTTCAAAAACGTGGTACCTTCGCAAAAGGGACTTATTTTTGCAATTGAAAATGGTATTACACCCCCACAGCGCTAATTAAGTTGCACATTACACCCATAAATAGCTCCCGTTAGCGCCATGAATAAGTGTTTAGAGAAAAC